TAAAATTAATGTGTAATATATAAAATAAAAATTTAATTAATTCTTTCTCAAAAAAAGATACCGGCCATAATGAATTATACACAAAATTTTAATAAAAGATACCTATAGTAATGTATATTGCACCCAAATAAGGTCAGATACAAAGCTTGTACTAAATAAAGAATTACTATTTCAACTTAAAATTAATGTGTAAGATACAAGATAAAAATTTAATTGATTCTTTCTCAAAAAGGGATACCTACCATATCTAAATTATACATAAAATTTTAATTAAAGATGCCTACAGTAATGTATATTGTACCAAAATAAGGTCAGTTACAAAGCTTGATCAATTAATTAAAATTCGTCCCTACCATAATTATACAAAAAAAATGTTAACTAAATTATTCTACTAATAGAGATTTATATCATAATTAAAAAATAATTCTTATTGAACTATTACTTCCATTAATTATGTTTCCATTTATAATTTAAATTTTTAATGTTGTCTTAAAAATTGCTAAGTGGCTTTTTTTTAGCTTGCCACTTGGCTTAACCTCATGCTTCACTACTCTCCTTTTAATATAATATAGATATAAATATAGATATAGATACTTCACTACTCTCCTTTTAATATAATATAGATATAGATACAATCTAATTTTGCCAAAACTCAAACTGCTAGGAATTAGGAAGGCATTTTGCTAAAATTAAAAGCTAGATAAAATTTCTTACACCTTTTTATTTTTCAATAACTCCACAAAAAGTCCTTGATAGAGCACTGAAGTTAAATTATTTTATTGGAAAATTAATTTTTATTTTTCCTGCTCTTTTATTTCTTTCCGTATTAAAGGTGTAGTTTGTGGGGTGAGGTGGAGACAGCTTTCTGCCACGCCACTGAACAGTTGGCCTTCAATAATTGAAATTCTAAAATAATTCGAAATTATTTTGTACTGAATTATTGCTATTCATTACTGGCATTTCTTAGGGGTGTCAATGTTGGCAATAATGTCTTTGCCAATGTACAGTAGTTGCGAAAATTCAATTTTTAGCCCACTGTTGATACTATTAAATTTGCAGGCGATTTGCACAGGGCCACAAAAGATTGACAAAATCAAACTATTCTCCACTTTAATTTTAGCCAATGTGCCTAAATGAACAAATTAAGCCAAAATACTTTCTACTCTACGATAAGAATTTATTATTATCACAAACGATTATAGGTCTTATGGCATGTTAGAACACTTCGACAATGATCCTTTTAGTGTGAATTTAAACTTTGGAAAATGTACGTTAATCTTTTTTGATGAGAATCTCTTCGTTCTCAAGTGAAATATAAGCACAAAGAATGATTGGGATTCCTCCATGATCCTAATTTACGCGAGTCCAGATTAATCGAACTAGTGAATTTAGCATATATGTAACAAAAATACATTGTAATATTAATTGAATAAATGAGTTTTACTAAAGAAAACAGTAAAATTGTAATTATACACAACCACCCTTTTGGAATAACAATAATGCTCGTTAAACCCATCGCTAACTCCCGCCCAACATCCCATTTTTCATAAATATAATCAACTCAAGATAATTAAAAAAAAACAAAATAAATAACAAAGTATACATAATTCCCAATCAAAAAAGAAAAAAAGAATTCCATTCTTCTTCTCCAAATCTCCATCAGTTAATGGAAAATTAAAGATAATGAACTGAGGCTAATGGTTAATTAACCCCTGGCTCAATAGTATGGAATGACTGGTGGTGGTGGAGATGCATAGGAGACTCCTACAACGGGTGGAAGTGGAACGTGTTCGTAACTTGGGGGTGGTGGTGATGGTGATGGCGGTGGGGGTGATGGTGGTGGCGGCGGCGGTGATGAGTAGTAGTAAGTNGAGGTGGAGGAGGTGGAGCATGACGAGTTACAGGTGAAATTTTGTGGGTAGGAGGTGGTGGACTTCTGTGTTTATGCGACGGAGAACTACTGTAAACAGGTGGTGGTGGTGATGGCGGAGGAGTTGATTGAGGTGGCGGCGGAGAGCGCTTAAAATGGGAACCCGAAGATTTGGAAGAAGGTGGTGGTGGAGATTCAATTGGTGCAACAGGTCTTGAGGGTGTAGATGGCTTTGGTGCTGGTGGTTTGTTCTGAACTGGTGGTCTTTTTGGCTTAGGGGTTGGTTTTGGTCTTGGTTTTACTACAGGAGATATAGCAGAACGGCTAAAGCACTGAGATTTTCTACAATCATATGGTTTTGCATCATCAGAAGAGCATTCTTTAGCAGATCTTTGGTCTTCCTTTCCAGCAATGCAATTTTCTTCCCCGTCAATGACTCTACCAGATCTAGTTGCAGCACAAACCGGAGCTTCCCCTTTAAAGTAATTGAAAGAAAATGTAAAGTTTTGCAACCTGGGGAGTTGACAAATACTAGCTGGTATAACACCAGTGAGCTTGTTGTGAGCCACATTAAGTTGCTCAACACTCCTCATTCTGCTCACTGTTGACGGCAATGGACCTTGAATCTTGTTAAAGCTCACATCAAAGACTGTTAATTTCTTCAGCATTCCAATCTCCATTGGCAAACAACTGGTTAGATTATCATTCATTAGTATAAGCTCGTTCAGACTGTTACCCATTTTCCCAATGCTCGCTGGGATACATCCTCCAAGATTGTTATTGGCAAACACAAGAACAGAAACAGGGGAGTTGCCCAAGTTCTCAGGAATACCAAAACGAAATCTATTATCATTAAGGAACAAAGCATCCAAATCTTTGTCGAAAAGTTTAGAAGGAACTGGCCCTTCAAAATCATTAAACCTTAGATCCAAGAACTTTAATGAAGGTAGAGAAAGAACCACTTTAGGAAATCCACCAACAAACCTATTGTTGCTCAAATCAAGCTCCCTAAGAAGCTTCAAATGGCTAAAGGTTTTAGGTACGATACCACAAAAACGATTCGAGTTGAGGTGGAAAAGAACTAGATCTGTTAGAAGACCAAGTTCTGGAACTAAATAACCAGCAATATCAGCATGGTTAAGATCAATGCCAGCTACAACTCTAATAGAATCATTAGTTAAAGATTGTGCACAAAACACTCCACCATAGGAACAAACATTTGGTCCTGTCCAATTTGCTGTGAAGTTAAAAGGGTCAGAAAACATGGCTGCTTTCCATGTTTGTAACGCAATATATGCAACACGAAGCTTTGGGTTTTCGAAAATCAACTTGTCCGCGTCGCCCTTGATATCATCAAGATCAATATCTCCTTCTTGTCCATAGATCTGAAATGACAAAAGGGAAATAACAAGGAAGGAAATGAACAAAGAATGAAGGCGGCTAGGAGGCCGCATTGCTACTATTTTCTTGATATTGAATGGAGGAATCAAAGATGAAGAAAATGAAGGGAAAATATATGTATCATTCAGTGAGAAACCAAAACTATGTAATGTGAATGTGAATGTGAATGTGTTGTGTTTAGTTTCTTGTTTGTAAGTATTGAGAAGATGGGCATGTGAATGAATGAATTGATTTGAATTAAATAGCAAAGTAGCCACCTCTATTTATTTCTTCACAGCTCTTTGTGTTTAAGTTAGTACTTGGGGACACATTATAATTACATGCCAGCAAGTCTATTTAATTTTACCAATAAAACCTTGGTTTCAAATTTGAATTATTGACTTAATATTAAGATTCTTTTTTTGTTTATTCTACAAAAATTTCAATCTGCCAACTATAGTACTCGTTTTTGAAAGGAAAAAAAGGGTCAAAGAAAACAATGACGGTGCCAGATTGGTGTGCAAGTACTCGCAAATTAAGTTTTATTAAATTTTATTAAGAGGGGCACCGATTTCGATGACAACGGCAGTTTAGTACTTTGAAATTTATTTTTTTATATATTTAAAAAGAGAGTAAAGGCGATTTTAATAAACGAAAAATGTGTCGTGTAGTGGGTAGATTTTCAAGGCCCCCACGTCTATCGTCTACGAGTTAAATGACATGCCAGCACGTCAAGACAAAAGTAAGAGGTGCTCAGGTCCCAAATAGCAAATTTTTTTAAATAAAATATTCTTTAAACAAACACCCCAAAATTTTACTAGGTTAGACATTTCGACCCACGTAAAATTTTTGACTGCGGTAAAGATTTCTTTTGGCTTAGAGAAATGAAGCAGCTTTTAACGCAAATAATAATTCCAGTGAAAAAAAAAGTTCTTTAAACAAGCTCTTGTTACGATAATATTATATTGTAGATGTCTATTTAATACTTTATTTTAGATAATTTTTTTGAAGAAGATTTTTCATTTGGTACCCCATTAAAGTTTATTTACAAGTAGTTTATACAAACAGGTTGCAAGCAACTCAATAAAATAACTTGCATTAACTTCTTATTAAACAAGCAAGTTGCAAGTAGCTCATGCAGACATCTTATAATAAGCAACTCAAAAAAAGTCTCGTGGTTGTTTCCTGAAAAGCTTCGCAGTTGCTTCCTAAAAAGCTTCACAGTTGATTCCTTTTTTCTATAAATAGATAAGATTTGAGTTCATTATATATATCAGTTTAAAGTTGAATAATATATCATTCTATCTCTATATTTATCTTTAGTTTATTTACTTTATAGTCTTTATTTTATAACAACTCTCAACATTTTGCTAGGTGAGATTTTGGGCAACGTAAAATTTGTCCGAATATAAAAAAAATTCCCCGCTTAATCAGGCGAGAAAATTCTTGCATTGCAGTTGGCACCCAAATAAAGCTCATTTATGAAGAAATTAATAATTCGACATTAGGATTGCAAATTCAAGTATAAAAACATAGTACTACATTAATAATAGATGATGAAAGTTATTCATAGAGCAAGTTACTTTATCATTGCGCGCTTTCAGTCCTTTTTCTGGATTAATTGGCAGCACTCCCTCCCTTAAACCCCCTTTTTATTTCTTTTTTCTCATTTTTTTTTTGGGGGGCGGGGGCGGAGGGGTGAAGACTAGGAGGTTAATGCCGTTTCTTCTCTTTGCTATCTCTTAGCTAGCTGAAGATGAAAATAAAATAGTTCAAGCTCGCTTGAGATCGCAATAATAGCGTTTAAAATGGTACATATATTGTTGATGCAAACACCATATGGTAGGTTGTTCAAACTCGCTTGAGATTACAATAATTATATTTAAAATTACATATTTATTTCTAATGCAAAGACCAAACGGTAGGTTGTTCTTCCATATTCAAAAAATAATTTTGCAATAAAAACTATTCAGGAGTTTTAGTATCATATTTTGTTATAAATATTGTTTTACTTGTATGATCTTTTTCACACAAAAAAAATAACATAAAAGATTTGTAAAATAAAACACATGAGACGTTGGAGATAATTTCCTTCTATTCAAATTATATGTAGACAAAAAATATCATTTCTTCAAATTGCCCTTGCATAAATAGTAAATTGGTAAAGTGGAGTTGAGTCATGTGATCTTTTACATCCTGAAAAAAGTTCAAAAATTAAGCTTTATTTTAATTTATAATTTTACAATAATAAAATGTTAGGTGTTTGCCATAATTTTATTACCATATTTGGTTTTCCTATTTGTTGAAGGAAAGGGCAATATAATTACCTTAATTGGGTTTTCCTTTTTGTAGAAGGAAATTATAATTCTCCTATACTTGACTAGTCCTTTTTCTCGTAGGAAAAAGTTTGGAGTTCTATAAATTGAAGATCCGTCCTTCTCATTCAGTACAATCCACAATGTAGCTATAGGGGGCTTGAGAGTCGTGTTTAGGGGGAGAACTTTACGGGACAAGTGTTAGTGTGTCACTTGTGTTTGCCTCTTCGTGAGGTTGTTCTCTCGATATTTTGTACTTTCTTTTTATATAGTGGATTGCTCATCTCCGCGGTGGACGTAGGTCAGTTGACCGAACCACGTTAAATGTTTGTGTTTCTTTTGGTATATTTCTCCTTTGTTGTCTGATTTATCGTCGTTGAAGGTTTGTTTTGCTAGCTTCCGCATGACACCTAGTTTTTTACGGTCTTAACATAAAATCGGGTAGTTATACAGTATACGAATAAAAAATTTTGATTTTAATAAAATGTCATTAAAATTTTGTCGGCTCCACAAAGTTATAAATTCTCTTTTATTTTCTGTTACAGGGGAATAAAACAGAATATATATCTTTTATTTTTATTTTAGACATTTTTTCTACTAAGCCTTTTTTGAGTATTCCCTTTACAGAAGGTGAGATATTGTTAAAGGAAAGGATAGAACATGACGAAGAAAGGAACTTATTTTGTGAAGTAGTGGCAACTTTAAACATGAGATATCATTCAATCAAATTATCAACTATTTATCTTCTTTTTAGTAGAATTCCACGTGGAAATTTATGTCTGTTGATGATACGGCAGCGTAGATGACTTGGCAATTTTTGCTTATGTGGGTAGCAGCTGAGTTGTTACATATGGCACTATATTTTGTTATTTTCTCAGCTATTTTCGTTTTGAGATATTTGTTTTTGTTTTATTTGTATACGGTGAAATCGGAGAGTCCAATTTTCCATCGTTACGATGCCTCGCAAGCACATCTCGAAGGCTCGAGACTACGGTCGAGTTTCATCCCTCGAAGGCCATCGACGCTCGACCTCGGAGTAGTACGGACTGATGGTTACGGAGATAAAGTGGGAAGTTCCCAAGGTGCATAAATAGGGCTGACAAAGACTAGTAGGCTAGCTCTGACTCGTATCATAGTGTCAACTAGCTGTCTCATCTCCATATCTTTGTAATAAATGTACTTGTACTATGTTAGGATTTCCCCTCATAGGATCCTTGTCATTTTGTAAACATCTGTTGCTCAATACTAAATACACAAGAACATTCTCTCTGCTTTCTAACATATTCTCTCGATCTCATTACTTTATTTATTGCTCATGTTTATTGTGTTCTATTCATTGTTCATCATTTATTACTTATTATTGGCCATAAAGAGCCGTCATTGATTTTATTATAACTGTTAGTCTCCACCGACTACCCCCGATAGCTCCCAACCGAGCATCAGATTCGGCCCCGAGGCCCCCAAGTAGGCAAGCTCGAGGCCCCGATTATTAACCATTCGGTTTGATTATCGCCTCAATCTCAACTTATCTCATCTCTAAGTCTATCACATAGCATCAACAACCTAACAACTAGCATAAAAATAGATCACGTATTTTTAGAACCACTAATCAAATTTAATTATTATTATTATTATTATTATTATTATTATTATTATTATTATTATTATTATTATTATTATTATCATTTTCACAGTAAATAGTTTGGCATCCACCTGGGGCTAAAAATAATAACGATTATTTTCTTGCTGGTTTCACTATGTAACTCATTTAGTGTTATCTAGGTTTGTTCCAAGGTTATATCCAAGTTTATTTTGTTTGTCTTGTTGTTCAAAACCTTTCACCGTCTGTCTAATGCAATTTTTTGTTTTCTATTATTTCTAGTCATTTTTGTTTAGTTCTCTTTTCCTTTTATAGTTCTTTTCATGCAAGCTCTAGTGACATGACATGCACGCATAATTCTAGGCATGGTCTTAAAAGTTAGTTTAATCGTAAAATAATGAAACAATTTTGAAGATGATAGGGATACTTGAGGGCAATAAGTATAGATTTGGACATTTTGAGATTATTTAAAGCCCGAACTGTGTGAAACTGGGGCAGATAATTTGGGAAGTTAATAGGATGACAAGAATTCGTTAAAGGAGGATGCATCCCAGACAATTTGAAGCGAGCAGTTTTGAGTTCAAGTGTACCTCAAGTAATAAGATAAAGTCAAGGGAGTTTGCTCCAGACGGAAGGTATCCATCGTGAAGAAAAAATCACCCAATGAGAGTTCTGTACTTGACAAGGCACTAAAAAAGTGAAAAGCATATCAGTGATATCAATGCCAAAGCTGTAAAAGAAATGTTGTGTTTGCTCTTCCTTTTTCATTTCAAATTGCATGTGTTGTACTCCAAAATTTCAGGGATTGGGAGGCCCTCTTTTAGCTACCCAAACACTTATACCATTCGATACTCTTTTGAGCCTATACTAATTTCTTTGACCTCCCCTCTTTTGGAATCAAGTTAGAGTCATACGAAAAAAAAAATTCATGTCCCCATAGGTTTATTTTAGAAAGTTCGTTCTAAAAGGAAAATTCAAAAAAAAATAGAGATAAAGAAAAAAAAAAGAAGGAAAAAAAAGAAGGAAAAAGAGAAAAGAAAAAGAAAAAGAAAAAGAAAAGGAAAATAGTAACAAAAAGTAGACCTGTGAGCTATGTTTGACCTGATTCTTATCACCACAAGATACGTAGGCAGCCTTACGGTTCGGTCATACCAAATAAAATATTTCATAATCCCATGTAGTCGAGAGTGGGACAGTCTTTCTTAGTAACTCCATCAAAAAAAAGAGAATCAAGTTCTTTTGTTTTAGAAATTGGGGTAAAGTTTTGAAATGGATTCCAAAAGTTGTAAATAAATTAACCCTGTTATCTTAGTTATTTCGAGCCTCTTTCTAACCTTGTCCAAAAGTCACATTACAGTCCAAAAAGACCTCCAAGCTTTTAGCTTGGTTA